GGTAGGGACAGAAGCAGGTTGGTGGGAAACCCCCCTAGGCTCAGCAGCGGCAACCCAAAGAGAGAGACCATCCTCCTTGCTTCCAAGGAAGTCCAAGAGAGGGAGTGAGGGGGGTCCCCCAAATCAGAGAGGTGGGCCGGAGGAGGGGAAGGCTGACAGGTTAGTGGTGCCTGGCGGTGGGCGAGGGGGGCTTCTGGGGATTCTCAGCCTCTTCCTGAACAGCTGCTTGTCCACACCCAGGGGCAGGGACGCGGGAGGCTGGTGCCGCGACTTGTGGTTTCTCGCCCCAGCCCGCCCACTGCTGACTCACTCAGGGCAGCCCCCGGCCCAGTTTCCTGGTGAGGCCAGGCCGGCCGGCTGGTCAGTGGGGCCAGGGGGGAGGGGGTCACCGGGCTATTTATAAGAAGGAGAAGTCCCTCATGCCCTGGCCAAAAGCCCCAGAGAGCCCTGTGGGTGTGGGGGGGTGGACTTCCTCCTTCCCCTGCTCCCCTTCCCCCAGGCCCCTGCAAGGGGGTGTCAGGGAAGCCTGGACACCCCACTACCCATGCACATGCTGGTCTGGGTGCCCTGGCCAGGTGGGGGGAGGGAGTTAGCCTCACACCAGCCTCACATCGGGCAGGGGCAGGCTTGGCGCCAGTGGGGCGGCGTGAGGGGGTGGTGCCCAGGCCACAAGGGTGAGACTGGCAGGGGCCTAGAACGGGCTATACCAGCTTGGCTGGGCCCACGCCCTTGCCCGCCCTGGCTGGCCCAGTCCCCACCTCCCGGCTCAAACGCCCGTCCCCCCCAAATCCTGCACGAGCCACCCAGCTCCAATATGCTGGCCTGTCCCCCTAAACACCAGGTACCCTTCTCCTCCTGTGCCCAACTCCATCTCTCCCCCAACGAAAGGAGATGCTTCGTGACCAGGCCTGAAGAGCTTGGCACGAACTTGGGACTGCACCAATGCCTCGCGTTGGCATTATTCACCACAGTGTGGCTCAGGCTCTGGAGCCAGACGGCACCGGTGACCTCCCCGACCCATGCAAAGAGACCTGTCCGACATTGGTCCAGCTCCTCAACCATCTGTTAAATGGGACCCAGCCTGCCTTTTACTGATGGTTGGAGGCAGCCAGTGAGTGATCTTGTTTTTTTTTTTTTTTTTTT